GCGTTTAAATCAAAAGCCATTTTGCGCACTTTGTAATTTGTTTGGTGAGCATAATCACACACACAGCAGAGTTGTGCGCAGCATTTCAGGTAGAAAATGCGAAAATACTTGAGCAAGCTCGCCCAGTTCGTTCTGCGGCAAACTTTGCCGTTGTTTGTGCGATAGTGTGGCATAAGAACTGTCTATCTCGACTCGTCGTCGTGCCCAACAAGGGAACATTTCACGAACACAACTGATGCGAATGTTGAATAAAGATTCTAATTTACATGCTTACAAAGTTCAATTGCCTCAAGAGCTGTAGCCTAGTAACCATTGCAAGCGTCAATAAGCCGAACGGTTGATTGAACAGACAGAAGTTAATGGCGACTTCACAAAGAAAATCATATTCAGCGATGAGACACACTTTTGCCTCAGTGGATTTATTAACAATCTACGAGTGATTGTTGAAAGGCCGATTGCCGAGGCCGTGAATAGTGACCAGTTTTCCAAATCTCTCAACAGATTTAACGTAATGATTTGAGTTTTATCAAATAATTACGAATGTGGCATTTTGACAATAGCGAAATAATTTATTTATCAGTATAATGTCACTTGTTTTGTAAGAAAATTTTGCTTTGTTTGAATCGGATTTTACAGAAAAACCATTTTCTTCATAATGCAGAAGCGAGATTCCACAAAAAAACCTAATTTTCTGTGGTGTGTGTGCACAGGACATAATAAACAAATTCCGTTCGATAAAATTAATAAAACAGACACAACCCACAAAGCAAAATGATATTCCCTGCCTATGCCAGGAATATTCATTTGATGAACATGGTACATACATCAAAACCTATATGAATGTTCCAGGTATGTAGCAGGAATGTATCAGAATTACTACTCTGAACGCACATTTTCACACTAATCGCACATACGCATGTATATTCACTGCACATACCATGTGCATTCACTGAACATACATATGTACATTCACTGAATATACAAATGTATATTCGCTGAATATACACATGTGCATTTACTGAACATACATATGTATAGTCTGATCAACTCTTCTTCAACGTTTCGTCAGAAAACGTGACGTCAGGCACCAAGTGAAGGACAATACTTTCGACACTTGAATAAAATAGCTCATTGTTTTATATTGTATAACGATAGTCAGTCTTTTTTTATGAACCACTTTTGTATGTTATTAATTGGGCCTCAAGATTTAATCAAATGTCAAATGACTATAGACATATAAACACTTCCGACCTTCCCGTGGCGTTTCGCGTTGATTAAACAAGCAGAACTACCTTCGACCTGCCCAATGCTTAAAGGCCCATTTATAAACTTAACGTTTGCGCTTGCGTTCACCGGTACCATTTGTGTCGAAATTCAAATATTGGTATATCTAACATCCATTTATAAACACCGGTGGCCGGTACCGTTTCCGAACACGAACACACCAGTGCTCACCGAGACTTCGACCAGTCAACATCGTGCTAAGCATCGCGCTCTGCAAAAGTTTCAGTGTTGATAATCAAAGTCAAAGCTGTCGCTTGGGTTTTCCCACTTGAGTTCTTGTGTTGCTACGCTGAGAATAGTGTGCTTTTTAGCGCG